CCCTCCTCCCCATCCCCACCCCCACCCCCCAAACCAAGCAACACTGTTTTTGGAAAGGACAAAAAATAAAGGTGACTTTGAACATTTTGATTGAAGCTTCTTTTTGGTCAATTATTTCAGAATTTTCTAAAATCCATATTATGTTCTTTCATCATCGTGTCAATTTATTCACATGTGTCAACTCGATACACGTTTTCTACAAGACTATTTGGAACCAAAATTGACAGAAGTTGAAATGAATAAAAAGCTAAAACTTTATTAATTATTACTATGTTTACGTGGCAAAATGTTGTGGACTTGAAAAAGACGAAATTGACACACATGATGAAACGTCAAATATGTAAATTCTTGGTTTAAAATTTTTAAAACAAAAAGAAAAAGAAAATGAACCCAAATACTACTAAATAAATGGTGCAGTGGCAGCTGGGCAGCGGCCAATGAGCGATTCGGCATCAACGTCGGTGGGTGGTTGAGGTGTTGCAGTGGAAAAAAGAAAATGAAGAAAAAGGAGAAAGGGGAAGGAATTGGTTGGGTTGAGTTTGACCGCGAAAATACTCGTAAACGCTATTAGCTACAGCCTACAGGAGGGGTCTGGACCCCACAAAATGTCTGCATTAGACATTAGAGCGGACAAGAGACGAAGGTTGTGGGGTCACGCTTCCTCTGCCCCCTCTGCCCTAAGCAAATTCGACAATCTCTTAATATCTTTCCTTGACCCCTGATCTAGGGATGTAATCGAACCGAGCTATTTGCGAGCATCCAGAAGCTTGATAAGGCTGTCGAGTCGAGTTCGAGCATTCAGAAGCGATGCTCGAAGGCTCGACGAGCCTTATCGAGTATTTTAATTTTAATTATTTAATATATTATTATTTAATATATTATTATAAATTACCCTTATATCCAAAAGAATTGTCGAATTTACGAAATGTTTCAAGTCATATAAAAATTTTAAAAGGGCAATAATGTCTTTTTACTTAAAAAATCAAGAAAATAAAATTTAATAACTCGAGCTCGAACGAGCTCGAGTAGACTCGATAAGGCTCGAATGGACTCGAGCCCATGCGAGTCGAGCTCGAGTACTGCGAGCAAGCTTCGAGCTCGAGCTCGAGCTCCAATAATACTACTCGCTCGAGCTCGAGCGCCCTAGATGTATGTCGAGTCGAGCTCGAGTATGGCGATACTCGAGTTTGACTCGACTCGATTACAACCCTACCCTAACCTACACTACAGACCAAAAACATGTTTCTCTCTCTCTCTCTCTCTCTAATTAATCCCACCATCTTCTTACATTTATTTCTTAATTCCCCCCGGGGCGGAACATAGCTTTTCTAATACCAACGCACCCTTTTACTCTGTGAACTATAGATTCTACTTAAAACCCGTTTGAATTGCTATTTTTTAAAATTTTTATAAAAATATATATTATAATAATTTGATGTATAAAACGTGTTATAAAAAAGTAATTTACAAAATTTATTTACAAAATATGTAAATTTTTTTTGGAGAAAAGTTACAATTCAAGCAAGGCTGTTCCATTATATTGATGCGTGAAATGTTTGTGGTAGTAATTATTAGCGAGAAGAAGATGAAAAGAAAAACAAGGGGAAAATGATTATTGTAACACCAGCAATTAATTCAAATCTTCCGTAAAATGAAAGAAAGACGCCTTATGAGCCATGGCCATAGTTCTTTCGAAACTAAATACTGAAGCTCTAATACTCACCTTTGATCACTTTTTTATACAGGAAAATGACCCATTGCTCATATATTGCTTCGCTGTTACTCAAGCTTTCCGTCACTTGCCTTGTCATGTTTCTGGTGAGGAAAGTAATGGATTCTTTTTACCTTAGTTCTTGTTTAGAGAATAAGTAACTGTTTTAACTTTATATGTTATCCAACTAATTTTTTTTTTTTTTTTGGGTTTGGATTGCACATTATTTACATTTTACTTTACACATACCGACTTTGAACTCATAGAACTAAAACAACTTGGTTTGGAAAGAGCCAAGTGATTGTAGTGTCAACTGATTGGTTAGCATGCAATAAGATTGGGCGGTTTAGTAGCTGAGATTGAAACCACAAAACTGATTTAGGATCTTAACTCTAATTCTCTTTTCCCCTCTTTGCTTTTAAAATTTCACCTTTCTCCTGTTAAAAAAAAAATAGAAAAAAGGTGAAATCTCTTGGGAAGGTTGGTGATACGATCAAAAACCATTGGAGAGACTTTCTGAAATATCCTTTTTAAGCATGAAGGTTGGTGATATTATCAAAAACCATTGATGAGGCTTTCTAAAATATCCTTTTTTACGTATGACAAAAGAACACTAAGGGTAAAATTGATTTGGGAAATTTCTCCGTTGGAGTTTTCCTCAAGTTGATTGCATCAATGGAGAATAAATGTGGATTGCATCAATTGTTTACTTGAGTGGTTATATCATCTTCCTAAGCGTATTTTAACTTTATGATTGCAGGAGATGTTGTTTTGACACTTGAAAAGCAACTTGAGAGCCCTAGGGAAATTACATTCATAAGCTGGTCTACAATTGAAAGAAAGAAACTCACAAAGTAGAATGCATAATGAGACTCAGTACAAATTAAAAAGCAATACGACATTTAAGCATTAGCATATTTATTCTATAGTTGCTCCAAAAAAATTATATTTACTCTATAGTTGAGGCAAAAAATTAAAGTTTTGGCACTGAAAATAATCAGATTTTCAGCACAATAGAACATTGTGTGGTAAATATTTCAGATACTTCCTACTTCGTCAGCACAAAGCCATATCTATCTATTTCTTTCCATCTCTTGTAATAACAATTTGATTTGTTTGTCAAATGTTAAATCTTGCATCACTATCAAGCAACCTGTTTGGAAGAAAGTGGAGGAGGAAAACAAAGTAACCAGTTATCCTAATTAAAGCAATAACCATCCAAAGAAATAACTTAGGACGATAAAACCAATTATCTTGAGCATGATAAGCATCGTTTCTAGAAAGCAAAAGCAATTTCCAATCCACAACCTTTTATCTCAACGAAGAATTGAAAAAAAAAAAAAATCAATGTTTTCGTGTAAGCTTGAAATTTTTTTTTTTTTTGAAATTTTTTTAGAATGATTTGTTTAAGGCAAACTCTGTACATGGGAGAGAGATGCCACTTAAAAACTTTATTAATTACTCAAATAATTACAATGGAGGGGGATTTGAGCCCAAATCTCCAGGCAGTACATGAATAAGAAGGAATTTAAAATGATTATTTATATAGAACTGCAAATTTACAAACATGGAGAACAATACAGAGGCCTTTGCACAAGTACTAAAATGTAAATTTGACTGTTCCTTGGCAGATAAGATCTGATAGCAAAAGTTTTAGAGTGGCACATTAGAGATACTAATTACTTGTTGAATTACAATATTCAGTGTGTTTGGGTTGTCAAATCATTCCAAATAATATTTTGCTTGCATTATAAACACATTTCCCAATTCGTCTTTTTATATTTCCAACTATTTTTTTATCTCACATACGTCACATCACAAAAAGTGCTACAGTAATTATTCCAAATAATATTTCAAATTATTAACTTCAAGCGATAATTTTTAGTTAAATAAAAGGAACTCGTAGTAGTCTGTTTGCTAGATATATTTCTTATTCCACATGAGGTGAGAGATTTGGGAATTTCACAAAAGTATTGATATCTAGAAAAGAATAGAGCAACATCTCCAATGTCTATGATTGAATTCTTCAAATCCAATCTTCTGGAAAGCGTTGTGACTGAGAAACATAGACAATACGATTGACACTACGGTTGAGCTAAAATTGCAACTCTTCGTTACATCATATTGCAAATAAAATACCGTGGATTGGACACGTGGAATAAAATATTGTCAAAATGTTCCAATTTCAAATTGATTTTCTGAATCGACGAAATATACACAGGCAGAGTATGTAGCACAGATCTGACTAATATGAAGCATAAATTAAAAGTGAAGCAGAAGATGATCTGATAAATAGATGATATGTAATCAGTGGAATATATGAATACGGTAGTTGCATAATTAACTAATGAATGTACCAATGGAATGAATGATGCAATGTATCTTTTGGGGTGATAGAACGGATATCCAACTTATCATTTCATTAATTTCATAACAGAAATGGAATCTTTTAGAAAATTTTTCTCCAAAAGTCAGAAATGGCACCTCAATTGATGGATTATTCATATGTCTTGGCTTTAATTGGAAGGGTTTTGAGAAAAGAAATAATGAAAAAAATAATTGAAAAATATATACTAATACTATATCCGATGCTTGCTGCCTTCTGACTTGTTTGGATTGCATTGCGCAGAAAAGCATCGACCACAGCGGGTGGCAGGCAATGCAATTAGGGATGGACCAAGATCTTACTGCTGATTCTTGTGCTTTCAATTTGGCGATTGCTAGCCTTAATTTTTTTTTTTTTTTTTTGTTCCTCCAAGATCCTTCGTAGCCGGCGTTTCTGCAAGATACTCTAGTTGGTGGTGAGAGATTTTGGAATTCCACTCTGTAGGTTCCACTGGTGGGGTCAAAGACGTAAGTGCTGGAAATGACTTTTCCCACTGGGAGTGAAAATCTAATGCTTGTCCATCCATTACAAGACGGTGAAGAAACGGTTGATGCCCGAATGGTGTGCAGAAAAATCAAAATGCCTTGGGATGTAGAAGTTCTCATGGACAGTAGAGCTTCTTAACTCTCAAAAACTCCTTGTAAAGCTTGCCAATAGATATCGGCAAAGTTTTGATTATAGCAATTGATAGATCAAGATAAAAGCAAGTGTATCGACTTGCTAATTTTTGTTGGCAACTGATTAATATCTACCTAAGTCAGCATAAAAAAAAGTGCAAAAGTTTGCAGGTGAACACGACATCAAATGTATTAGCCTCCAAAAACAATATTAATAGACTACTTGCCATTTCCTTCCTGAAAGTGCATGTGTGTTCTCCAAATGATTTAAATTCAAGGTAACAAATTTTGCAAATATTCTCTGCATCAGATTTTCCCAAAGCTCAAAATAGATTGTGCAAGATCATATACGTTACAATGTGTTAAATTGTAATACTCATTGACTTTTACATGTAGCAATAATCGTGTATACTGCACTGAGACATCCCTAACATAGAACTGAAGCCAGCATAATGGTGTATACTGTATTGAGGCATACATAACATAGGCATAGACAAGTATTTTCTGAGAATTTGAGCAAATTTTGACAACTTAGCATCCAATTAGAATATGATCAATCTCAAAGTAGCCAATCTGGTAATGCCAGTGCCATTCAATGTCGGGGCAGCAAATCTTGTTACAGCACCTTCCCTTTAGATCAGAAGATATGCATCCTATAGGGAGGCTCCTGATGAATTGGTACGAGGGTTACCACTCAAGCTTTTCAGATGTGCCAACTCAGAATCCTTCAACAGATCAGTGAAAGCTTCTTCAGTAGACAAAGCTATGTTTCCTTAAAGGGCTGACAAGCCCCATTAGCAGCATTCGTCATCAGAATGGAGGCGAATTCTGTTTCTGCAAGGCTATAAGCATTTAAAAAGTCATTAGGTTAAGTGCAGTAGTGAGTACACTCCAGAAAATGGAAGCTGCAGACGAGCAAGGACACACCATGACTTAAAATCCAACCTGCTGCTTTTCCATGTATTGGCTAATCCATATCTCTGTTCTTTACCTTGTAAATAATGGGCAAAAGATTCACAATTTCATACAAGTTTAAAATAAATGGCAATCTGTCAAGATCTTTTTGATTATATTGATTATGAAACTCGGTCGAAAACACAAAGAAATCAGCAAAAGTAATGAAAACCGGGTAAATTTCCTTGAATCAGAATATTAAAATCACAAGGAGAAGTGTACCACATGAATGAGAATCCCTGTAGCCAGCCAGAATCATCATTCATGCAGATTCTTATAGAGCTCTAGGCCTCAATAAAATCTCTCTCGCTGCCTCATCCTCTTGTATACTTTCAAGGAATCACCATTGTAACTATAGACTCTTAAATTAGGCTTAGAATTGCCTATGACCACAGGAAGAAATGGCATCCGATTACAAGTTGAACAATGAGCATACATCATCAATACAGAATGGATTACAGTCATGCTGAATTAACTAGCTAACCACATTAAGGTCACCTATTTCAAAGTTATTAAAATTGACTTTACATCATGAATTCAGTATTTATCATGAATTTAGTTAACATCAGGTTATGCCACTAGAAAACCATTTGAAGCTGTAACATAGCCCCACCTCAATCTTTATATCCAAGCAGTCAAACAATCCAAACAAAGTATCTGGACTCTGGATCTTGTTCAAATCTTCACTCTAAGATGATAAGAACACTTGTTTCAATAGGAATAGTCCTTACACTTGAAACATAAAATCAGAAGTCCACAACAATATACATAAAAAATCACAAATAAGAAGCAAAGAAATAAGAACATTAGAGGATGGCACTAGCATTCAGGTACCCTCCCCAAAATTTATAAGCAATTGCAATCTTGAAAATGCAAAATAACTTTGTAAGAACTCACTAAACAATTGAAAACACTGAATTTGCAAGACTATAAATCCTAATCCCGACAAGTGATGTTTCTTGATAATTAAGTAGCATATTCTTTATATTTTTTTCCCAATGAAGCTACTTAGTGCACATAATGAGCAATCTAGAGTTTTTATTCACTTGTTTTTCTAATTTCAGCGTATTTACAAAAGGTGTTTGGCTTGTCTATTCACCATACTTATAATTTTGTAGAGGAAAAATAACTCACCAAGTTTTTTTCATAAGAGGTTCCCCTTACAAGGCATTGACACTCTCTCACCGGGAAATTGCCATCCTCAAGGACTGTATTGCTAACAAGGTTGATCCTTCCTGATTCAATGATACGGATCAGAATTTCATGTATACTTCCAGTGTTGAACTCTACCACTCGTACATAAAAAACATAACTTTCTCCATAGTCCATTAACCTGATTCATTTCAACGACTCACAATTATCAATATAGCATGATAGGCTGGAAGACTTTATGACATGAGCAAAGGGAGAGTATTAACCATGGCATATTTTCCATCAACCTTGTAATAGCCCCATCAGATTGAGAGAACAGCTTATGATCACAGCTTTTCACACATAGGAAAACTTCAAAACATGTCTTTAGACCATACATCAGATGTCCAGCTCTCAAACAACTGTATAAAAAGCAGAGTTGCACTTGAGAATTTATGACATAAAAGAATGTAATCTCCCAGTAATATTTTTCAATAGACACGTATAATTTATTAAAGGATTAGAACTAACTCCGCAACTAAGAGATGAATCGCTTCAAAATATTCTCCATATCAAGAAGAAGGAAGAGTTCCCCTTGGAAGAGCCCTGATGGACACTTTTGAAGATAGAAGGCCCTCACCAAGTGAACAAGTCCTCTTGAGGAAAAGGAAACTGCAATAGCTGAAGAGTTCGGATGTTTCAGTAATATTATAAAGAAAAAATCATAAATGAGAATATAAAAAATAAAAGCAGACACCCAAAATAAGATGATTATCAAATAAGTTGCCAGACAATACAAAATAGTGATCACTATTTTCCCAAGTAGTGAATGTTGCTATAGCAGATTAACTAGTTAATAGCCCTGAGCTCCTCAAAAAAGGTTAGAGAGTTGATTTGCCAGAACTATTTAACCCAAATTGTGTTATCCTAATCCCACTAAATACTGACCTTTTTCAAGTCCAATACTTAATAGCCTAACAAACTCCGAGTACTACTACAATTTGTTCAAAGAAAGTGAAAAAATGATCATGCTAAGTTCAGAATCTCCATGTAACCATAGGGAATTCAGTTTACTTCTTGAAGTCCAAAAAACCAAAAAAAAAAAAAAATCAGCATTTTGAGGAAAAATCTCTTACGTTGGGAATTCAGTTTACTTCATGAACTGCATTCTTTGACAGGGGGAAAAATCAGCATTTTGAGTAAAAAACCTCTTGCTTTCAGCTATTAAGTGAAAATTCTCAACTGAATGGAAAGCTTTGCATCACTGCCACAAAACATTATCCATTTGCTCATTATGTTACAAAGCTTTTACTAGAAAGACACCCAAAAGTACCTATATGACTCACTGAGCTTGTCCACTGTCATTCTCATATAAAACATTCTTAACACTTCAACATGATAGTGGTGTTAGTCAGCCACTTCAGTTGTCAATCCTTACAATCTCATACGCATAGGGGTTGCACAAGGATGAATATATAAATGGCAAAATAAAGGAGAAACTAGGAAGAATGATTGTTAAGCATTAATGGCATGCCGAAAGCAGCTTGCGTAGCTAAATATTGTGACACAGAAACTCACTCATACCAAATATACCACTTTTAGAACTTCAAAAGAAGCCCAGGCAGTCTCGTAATCTGTCTGAGCAAAAGGCAAGATTTTACACTTCCACTGCTGCCTAAAAATCTAGATTTGAATTAACAATTAACTGAAATGACCAGTAATGAAATTAAGAAAAAAAATGGACATAAAAGATTGATACATAACGCACACAGTGCTTAAGCAAAGTAGAAGGAAAATAAGACCGAACAAATTTGATCAAAAATACTTGTTGGATATGGTGAAAAATTAGCCTAATTGACCGCCCTGAGTTGGTTAAGCTTATGTCACCCGCTAAAAACTGCAAAATTTTGAAAATTTCCATAAAATATGGCAACTAGAAATGGTTGTGGATAACCATATCAGACACGACAATTATGTTTCGCAATAAATTCCAGGTATGATCTCACAAAATTGCTGTCATCAACCAACTTTCGGACACTGTTAATTCTTTAACAAGTTGAAACATACGATTAATCAGAGGAAGTTAAAAGTGGCAGTAGATCACAAATGAATATCTAAAAAGTAGAAACTCGGAGGAGAAACAAACAAACAAACGAACGGAGAGGTTACCTGGAAAGCAGAAATTCAGAGAGAACCAAAGAAAAATAGGTTTGCAACAGTTATTCGGCAAAATTTAGGCTGCACAATTAAAGATTCGATTGACAAACAATATCAATACATTACCGCTGTCAATACTAAGAAAAGATTTTAAGGGAAAAGAAATAAGCATAGATGGATAGAAGCAGCAGTAATTAATTGGCAAAACTGTGAAGTAGTACAGAGGATTACCTAGTAGCTTTGGTTGGGGAAACTGACATGATTTGTGAGCTTCAAATGGACATTAGCCTCTGATATTCTTCCCATCAATTACAATAAAGGGAATGTGAGAGATCTTGGACCACTCAGACATGGGGTCGCTGCTGCTGCTGCTACTCACTGGATTGCATCTTTCCTTTAGAAGGGGACAGTCTCGAATCCACAGCCCTCTTAGTCTGGTGAGGCTTCTCATAGACTGGTGAGAGGGTAAATTCTCTAGCTTTTTACAATTGTCGAGATCGAGTTCTTCAAGTGAGGAAAGCTTCTCAAACCAATCGGGCAATGATTTTACTCCAAAACCATATAGTCCAAGAGTTGTCAGGGCAGAGAGGTGCTGAAGTTGCTTGGGCAGAGATTCCCAATGAGGCCATCCATACAGCCATAATATTGAAAGGGAGGGGAAGTAGGGGTGTGGTGGTGGGAGAGCATCAAAGAGGTATAGGAAGGAATGCAGCTCTGTGGTGGTTTCTGAGAATGGTCCGATGTATAATTGTCTCAATCTTGTAAGAGAACAAAGCTTCCCCTTGGGCAAGTCGGTTAATTCCTTACATTTTGATATGCTCAGGGAAGAGAGAGAAGGTGTTCGGGTTAAATCAATTGGGAAGGAGATAAGATTGGGGCATTCGTATACTGTCAATCGCTCAAGAGGAAGAGGAGGAGGACAAGTACCGGAGGAGGAGAAGGGTGAAGAAGTGGAATCCCACTCTGACTCAGATATTTGGGGGATGGACAAGTGGGTCAACCCATTGCAGGACCAAATCCATAATTGTCGCAAGGCAGCGAGGTATTTGCGTCCCTTAGGGATTGAAATTGACTCGAGCGAGTGGCAGCCCCAAACAAATAATTCCTCTAGGGACTCGAGGCCAGCCAAATGTTGAGAAGCATTATTGTCAATACTAGTGTGCTCAAGTACTGATTGACAATTTGGTCCTTCTGAAGTTTGAGGAACCTCAAACGAAAAGTCCAAAAATTGGGTCAAATCACCACAATCGTTTAGCCAGAGATGTGCAAGCTTGTGATTGTTTTGGAATAACACATTTGGTACCTTGGTGAGCCCATTCACATTCTCAACGAAAAGTCTAGTGAGAGTGCTGACTCCACTACAAATATATGTCATTAATGCCGATCCATTCTGGGTCTTCCTGATGTTCAATTCCTCGAGACGTGGAAAATAATTTGGAAAAGTGGCTAATTGAGGGCAATTATTAATCCTCATAGTATGGAGGACCGGAAACACCACCACTGTCCCATCATCAACTGTTGCTTCCATCCATTCCCTCAAATTTGGCATATCACCTAGACTGAGATCTTCAAGTGCTGGAAACAAGTTTACGTGTCCTTGACTGGTACTGCCACTATGCACGCCTGATCTGCCATAAAAGGAAGGGCCTATGCTTGCTAGGCTGTCAAGTCCATCCAAGTGAAGAAATCTGAGGAAGGGCATGTTTCCAAGAGTTGGCAACTCTTTGCAGTTTTTGCAATTTTGCAATTCAAATTTCACCAATTTCCCAAGTTTTCCAATCCACGTTGAAAGTTGACCACCAAAAAATCTTTCAATTACCAAACCTTTCAAATTTTGGTGAGGATGCAAGCCTTCCAGCACTCGATTGTATTCACTATCATTATTTCTTGAATCATCTATTTCATTCCATAGTAATCTGAACTCATCAATGTTTGGCTTCCCAATCAGATTTGCAGACTCGGCTTCTTCTTTGCTTTTCACTAACTCAAGATTACGTAACTCAAGTTGTCCACTGAGATTCTTCAAATTCCTCAATTCTCCAATTTGCCGACCTCTTTCTTCACCAATATTGAAAAATGGCAAAGTTTGGAGAAATTGCAACTGTCCGATCTCAAAAGGCATGATATCACTTGATCTATCATAATTGAAAAAGTCAAAGTGCCTCAAATTCACCAAATTCTTGAAATTCTTAGGAAACTTTTTCAGTGAGCGACAATATTTAACTCTTAATGTCTGCAAATTGTAAAGTTGACATAGAGACTCTGGCAATGTTTTGATTGAAGTTTGTGACGAATCAAGATATCGCAAATGAGCTAGCTTCCCAATTGATTTAGGAAGCTCTTCGACACTCGATGTCCTTAAGTTCAAAACTCGCAACATAAAAAATGACATCTTCCTATCATTAAGTGATCTGTTTCCTTGCAAAAACAATGTCGTAATATGCTTGAAACTTTCAGTGGAAGGAAACATCATTTCTTTTCCACTTATCTCCAGTGCAAGATACCGAATAGAAGACGTCTCCATATCAATGCTACTAGACTCTGTCAACCTTAAAGTTTTGGAATTGGAAATGGATTGCACCATGTCATGCACAAGATCATGCATTTTGCAATTCAAAACATTCCCATAATCATCCTCCTCGGCATCTTGAAACAAGTTACTCTCCAACAAAATGGTAAAATAATCATTACCAACTTCCTCCATACCCATCTTGTCTCTTGGATTTGGATGAAGAAATCCTTCTGCCGCCCAAAGTTGGATTAGTTGATTCCTTTCCATTTGAAAATCCTTGGGAAAAATTGAACAATATGCAAAACACTTTTTAAGAGATGGATACGGAAGATGATCAAAGCTCAACTTCAAAATTTCTTTAATGTACCTATTTTCACCTCCACCTAAAATTTGAAGCCTACTCTCTAATTTTTGCCATTCATCTGTTCCCTTGATGCGCAACATGCCACCGAGAACACTTGCAGCCAATGGTAAGCCTCCGCATCTTTGTGCAATCTTTAACCCTATATCTTGCAGCCCATCCTGCACTTCCCGACCACAAAATGCATTTTCTTTGAGAATGCGCCAACATTGATCATCTGATAATTGTTTCAAGGAATAACCCTGAGAAGAAGAAATTCTGGTGATGTCTACCACCTGTTGCTCACGAGTGGTCAGAAGAATCCAACTCCCCATGGCTTGGTTAGTACCTTTCATAGACCCAAGAAAATCATTCCATAGCATGGACTCCTTATTCCACACATCATCCAAGACCAACAGGCATTTTTTACCGTCCAATAATGCCTTAAGCTGCTTGACTCTGGCGTCCCTATCCTTAGCTTCAGGCTCTCGACCTTGCAGCGATTGTAGAATCATTCCAAACAGCCTATTGGAATTGAAATCCTCCGAAACACATACCCACATTCTCTTCTCAAAATGTTTTTCAATCTTTGGATCATTGATAACTTTTCGAGCCAATGTGGTCTTCCCGATACCGCCCATCCCTACTATAGGAAGAACGGAGATAGTTTCATTATTATTCGTGGCAGTCAATTGTGTTACTATTGCTGAAACATCACCATCTCTTCCAACAAAACTCACATCAACAGTGACAGAGTCAGTCTCTCTGTTCTTCATAAATGCTTCTCCGCCGGGAGATGAAATAGCAGGGGCATCTCTGGCTTCATTCTGTGACCGGAGAAGACAAAGTGTTGTTCTTTGTTCATGGATACTTATCAAATCCATATTGATTTTCTGAATTTTTCTGGCCATTCTGCAACGAAATGCAATGGGATTGGAGACTGAGAAGAAGAAGCATACCTTCCTCTTCATTTGGTTTCGGATCTGAACTTTGCGTCGAATCATTTCATAGTTGAAGTCATCCAGCAAATTTTCAGCATCGAAAGCCACACGTTCAAGATTCTCCAGCCAAAGCTTCACGAAATTTTCAGTCACCTGCTTTTTCTCAGCGTCACTAAGGAAAGCCTGGATTTCAGTCAACGTATCTTTCAGTTTCTGCAAATCTTTCTTGAAGCCAACAAACTGGCCAATTTGTTCGGAAGCCGAGTTTATTGCCGTCTGCACTAGAACTTGTGTAGTGGAACCAAGCACTGCATCCGCCATCAGGTCGATATCTGAGATTAAGAAGAGAGAATTTAATAGTTTTGAGAGTGTGGAATGGAACTTTGAAGATGAGGAAGAGTTGAATGTATCAGTAAGAGCATCCACAATGGATTACACTTTGTGGAGTGTAATCCACATGCCACGTCAGCATTCCACTTTCTCCTCTTTTATTACACTTTCACTCACAATGGATTACACTCCACAAGGTGTAATAGCATGGGTCCACAATTAATCAAATATTTATTTTAATAATGCATAACTCATATCCCATAAATAAATAAAGTAATTTTTAAAACTAATTTTGTTATTTTTAAAAAATAAAGTACTAACTTTCGTTAAATTTTATACATTTTGAATTTTTTTATTTTCTAAAAATGATATTATTAATTGTTAAGTTTGAATAATATATCTTTTTCTATGTTTCAAAAATAATATATTGTTATTTTTTAAAAAATAATTATGTAGAAAATTAAACAAATATTTGATGTGCATGGGAAGAAAAATCAACGGATTACACGCATCATATGTATGATGCGTGTAATCCGCATGACACGGCTCCAATGGGGAGCGTGTCATGGAGGGGTGTAATGGGGAGCCATTACACCCCCATTGGAGATGCTCTAAATGAAACTAGAAGTCTATTATTATTGTTACGGATGCGGCACCAATGCGTTAATGGACCTGCGTTAACATAAAGTTGTCATATACATCATACATGCAAGTCAGACACGACAAAATTCTTGTAGAAATTTATTTGATCACATTATAAATACAGTTTTCAATGACATCTTTATTTTTTCAACTATCTTTTTACATCGTATATATCGTATTACAAAAAATATTATGATATTTTTTTCAAAAAATTATGTCAAATAATCTTTTATCAAGTTATTTGCACAACTAAAGTATAACATCAATTCAGTGCTAGCCTCGGTGTTTGTTGATCGAATCAATTTTTGTTAATTATGTTACAAAATCTAGAGGAAGGTATCGGGAATTGGATGGGTAATCTTGATTTGAAATCTAAACTGCTTGGTTTTGTGGGAGTTGTAGTTGCTATTTTTATGATTATTAAGATTTGATATGGATGCCTTCAAAATTGTTTTGAAGGGATTAATTGGGCACACCTAAACTGTAATCATGAATAAAGCGAAAAGGAAAAAAATTGAAAAGGAAAGGATTTCCTTAGTTCCTTGGGCCGAATAGAGCGAAAAGAAAGTACTCAACAAATTGCATCTCAACTCCAAAACTTAGTTTCTTTTAATTTCACCATTTTTATAAAGGAATATTAACATAATTTGTTTCTTATCATATTTATCCATTTTTAGGTACCTACAACTATGCTGCCGTGTTTTGCATCCTATTATCAATACCAAATATCATAAAAATATACCCTTCTGTAATTGTTTCTTAATTTTTCACAATTTTATTATCATTAACAATACTTTTCATATTCATGAACTTTTTGTTTGTATTTTATTATTTTAAAAAAATAAAAGTCAAAATTCGATAATAAAAAAAAAATATAAGGGCTTCATCCACGCAGAAATAAAACCCCCCTTACTATAGTCTAGCTTTTCAAACCACTATTTCAAATTATTGAAAGTTAAGAGAAGTGACAGGAATGATTGCCAAACTGGTTACTTTGACAAGTGTGCCCTTACCTTAAAAAATCTTTGAAAAATAAAATTGGCAGCTTTAGCTTTAAACACTACTACTTGTTGTTTGTTGTACGAGTCAATAGGAAACCAAAATAATAATGGACTCTCTTAATCTCTCATCCTACTTGCCTAGGATTGGGAGATATTATTAAAGAGGGATAATTTTGAAAGATTATTGATATTCTATAATAATTTAAATAATCAAGTAAAAAATAAAGAATAACTCATTGTGTGATGCATTCTACCCACTCTTGTTTGATAAGCATCTAGTGATGGATCTCATCTGAACTAAGTGTATAAAAAGCACAATCAAATATCTTGTAAACAACTAATACCCACTCTTGAAATTTTAGATTTCATTCATTAGCAATTGTGGAAATTCATAAGACAAAAATGGAATTCCTTCGTATACCGCAGTCAATGTACCTGTAATATGAAGAGGTTGCTTCTATGGCGAAAAGCTGAGTCATCGTTTCATAGTGGGAAGAAGTAATAGGAATCGGACAACTAAGTTAGGTGGGCCAGAAAACAGACCAAAAAATGAAATTTGCAACCGAAGACGGGCTAGAACCGGTAATGAACACGGGGCGTAGTTTAATTTTGGTTTTTTGACCCAATACAACATCCCCAATTATTTTAAAATGACGTCTTTAAAGACATTTTAAAGTGGTCTTTTTTTCTATTTTGTTTAAAGTAATTTATCCAATTTTTGTCATTTAATTTTTTAATTCATTTATTGGTTCAAAAGCATTTTTCCTTTATTGCATTTATCCTTTTTAATTCTTTTTAAATATAATTTAACCAAATTTTTCTTTTTTCTTTAAGAAAAATACTATTTCATTTAACGAAATTTGAAAGACATTTTAAATGATTTTTCCTATAAATATTTATTATTCAATATGCAAGAATTGAATCTTTTCCAATTATAAATATTTTTTGTAATAATAATTAACAAGAAACCAATTTCATAACCATAACCCAGTTGGCACCAACATGGCATGTTGAACTCGGGATAGTAACTCTGAAAATTGGACTGATATGTTAAACACCTTGTCAGTAATAACTAATAACAAAACTCAGGTTTTGATGCAAGAAAGTCATTAATTCACTCAAGATTTCCGGGTTTCATCTAGAGGTGTCAAAATGGATGACTTTGGTGGGTTTGGATTGGGTAAAATGGGTAATGGGTATAAGTGAGTCAACTCATTTATACCCATTTAATTAAATGAGTATAAATGGGTAAGTCAAAAAATGAAATGGATAACCCAATTACCCATTTATAACCCATTTATTTTAACTTTTTATAAACTCATTTAAATTCATTTTTGCAAACTAAATTATCAATTTATACCACTCTTTGTACCCATCATTAGTTTTAAATATTTACTTATAATGCTCAATAAGCCTAATTACCAATTTTTTTCATTTATACTCTATGTCACAAAATTACATATTATTTAATAATTGAATAATAAGAATATAAAAAGAGGCTAAAACTTATCATAAATTGATAATGCTAAAAAATGAGCAAGTTAACAAACTAAGAGAAAATAAAATAATAAAATAAAACCAACAATAATAATAATAATAATGAAACAAAATTAGTTAAGATCATGACAAAATGAAAATTTTGAAAAAAAGGGGTAGGGGAAGAGAAGAGACTTGGGAGAAGATAATTCTAAATGGGTTAATTGGGTTTGTCGGATTATCCAATAATTGGCATCAGCTGGGGAGCAGCTCCCAGGCCAAATTGGCGAAGGACAAAATTTGAAGGGCAATTTTGGTAAGTTAAAAGCCTATAAATGTATTTATGTGTACTCCAATCTCAAGGATTAAATTTAATTGTTAGTTCGCGTAGATGAGTAATTATATACATAAATAATTAAAAGGAATTAATTTTATAAAAATTTTATTTTTCACAATAATTTATTGAAGAATTTTGGTTCATAAGGTTATAGTAATTTGGTAATTACAATACTTAAGGTAGTTATATTGGCAAAATGTGATTAAACAATTAGAGCAAAAATTAAAAGTTTTTCCCTAAGGATAAAATTGAAAGTTTAGAAAATGGTATTAAAAAGTTTATACTAACAGCGATCCCTCTAACTAAGTCCTCATAGACAGTGATTTTTTAATTGGAATCAAAATTGTAGATGAATAATTAGAAATATAATTAACACAGTGTTACAAAAAACCAGAATCGTGACATAATTGACCTGGTAGATTTTAATTTTAATTTAGAAATTAGATAAGTAATCTTATACGTAACATAGTGACTTTCAAATTGATATCAAATTTGTAGATAAGTAATCATAAATATAATTAACATAATACACCAAGAAACTAGAATTGAGATTGTAGATAAAATAATCATAAACATAAATCATATAATACAAAAGTTTCAAAGATTGAACGTTTGAACTATTGAAATAACTAGATGGTTATGAATTTAAATTCTAACTCTGCAACTAGTTATATTGGACATGACAAACTATAAATCACAAATTTGACCAGTAAATTAGTGTCAAATTTTGAGAATTTTTAAATATTAAAATGATCTAATGATAAGGATAATCAAATCATAGTAAAAATCAAACTTTACACTTAAAAGTAAGTGCTGAATTAAAAGATTTTGTTGATATAGGATTATCTAATGATAGCAAATCCATTGAAACAAGCAAGCAAAAAATGCAATTGATGATAAAGTAAAAAGGTGAAACCCAATTATGTTAAAAAACAATTACAATGTAAATAAAAATTAGTTGCTTAGTTTAAAAAAATAATTTAATTTAATGTGAAAATTTTTTATCCCACCTTCTGTTTCCTCCGCCTCTGATGATAACAAATTTAAAAAGGACAAACTTGGCTCTTATTGTTATTCCAGTATAGCATCTATTGTTTCACTAATTTATTTAATCACCCAACCCAATTTATATTAGTATTTGCTCTTAGCTCCTTCAGATGATAAAAAGGCTTTGCCGGTCACCTACTCTCAACTGGGCCCCAAAAACATGGATAGATATGCTTGTGCTGAGCTGTCCTTCTAGCACTCTTTCTGCCTAGGGTGGGCAGGTCAACTTACTTTCCACCATAGAAGCAACCATATGAAGAAACTATCAATGAAAGAGAGAATTACCTGGTCCTGGAGCAAAAAGATGGGAAAGAGTAGCTTCTCTATTTTCTCTCTACTCTCTAGCAGTGTCAGAGGTTGCTGTGAAGAGAAGGAAGAGTGAGATGAATTTTTGATTGAGTGGATTTCATAGGGAAGCTAGAAATCACGGGGAATTTTTAATTTTTCCCTATGAACTTTTTAAGGGTAAAGCTGTCATATTGTAAAAATAAACTTTACGTCTTCCGCTTTTCCTACCATTTCAGCCGAATTTTGGGTGGAAAATACTTCTAAAATTCATTGTCAGCAAATGTTTGGTATTGCTTTGGAAGTTCCTTTTCTTTGAACTTCACTTTAGTAGTAGTACTCAAATAATAATAATGTTTCTGAATGTCTACGACAGATCAAGGTATGCGAATTGAAAAGGAAAAAGAAAAAAAATAGTTCAATTTCTCAACATCAGAAAAAACGTTTGGATTAACTGTTTTTTGGATGCTTTTAAAAAATTTTACTATAGCAGAGTTTTTATAGTATATTTTAAAATATTTTTTAAAAATATTTTGAGATATTTAAGAGTAGAAGAGTTTTTAAAATATATTTTGAGATATTTTTTAATTATTAAAAAATTTTAAATTACTTTTTAGAATATTTTTTAAAAATTTTAATAATATTTAAAAAATTAATTTTTGAAAACCTCAATAATCTAAACAGAGCTACAGCTTGCATTTACTAATTGGGCTGACATTGAAAAAGAATTAGACTCTTGCTAACTTTTTCTGCTTTCTTTTTTCACGAGTGGACAGACTTATGCGAGAAAAACAACTAAGCAGAGTACGAAACGCGTAAAAAATTGACTAAATGAAGGACGACCGGTCCATCCATGTGTTTTTCTTCGTTGCTTTCTTATCATCTCAGATTGCCTGAGTCCATGCGCCCAAGAATTCTGAAGCAATAATGATCTTACTGGGCCATTTCAATAATTCACTTCGGGTGGGATTGAAAAGTAAACTGACAAGCAGAGTCATCCATGGCAGACGGCTAGACGCATTTTCTTAGGTGCTAACTTTTAACTTTGTCCCTATTTTTCATTGAGCGGAGATTTAGAAAGGAATAAAGGGTTTAGCACACATTCTGATAAATTTTTTATTTTATTATTATTTTTTAAATACGATAAGTTTTAATCTACACCTACTCCTACCTTTTTTTTAAAAAAAATTTTGCTAACAAGAGAGGAACGCAACTTAAAAAATTGTGGAATTTACATATAACTTTTGGTCCACAGGTCGTAGGCTCAATGCAAGTGTACAAGTGACTACATTCAATTTGGTTATGGTAGTGAGGTTTAATGTCTCCTCAGTCTTGCATTGTTTGAGAGTTATTAACTGATTATCAAACAATTAACAAAAAATTGTGGGATGATTCTTGAGCAAAAAGCTTGTGGGATGATTCGATTCCTGGACGTCTATAAAAAAAGTACCTGAATTGATCGCCTAAGATGGGATTCGATTCTATAAAGAAATAACAAAAAGAAAGTTTAATTTACGTACAATGGAAAATACTGCTCGATAAGGTAATTTGTTTGGTGAGGGTAGAGGAATTATGGTGATTACATAGTTTAGATATGTTTTATTATGACGTTGAAGGTTAATTTTTACTTGTATGTATGTAATAATTTTTATCAAATACATTAGTCCTATAGTGTAGACAAATCATTTGGAGACATTGTTATAGTTGATGGAACAAGTAGGATCAATAAAGTATTAAACCCCATCATCGTTACCCAATTGGCCATAGATTCCCTCAACATTATATGTAACATTTATCAAATTTCTTGACGGATTGTAGAGAAAGAAGGGTATGAGAAATGAAATGAGTAGAAAGCCACTTGTGGAACAAAAGAACCATGCAGCTTCGCCTTAACTTATTAGCATTTTCCCAGCTTTGATTTCACATTTCTTTTTCTTTGAAAAAAAAAATTAATGACCTTTTGTTTCCTTGTTTGTGGCCACCCAAAATAGTACATTGGCCGGTAAAAGTGTTATTTGTAATTGGTTGTCTTGCTTATGATGCAGTGTGGACTACTGAACCTCTTTATTCGATGCAAATGTTTTTTTTTTCAAGTTTATATATAATGTTTACTAATTTTATGACAGTTTGTACTAATAATTGCATTTTTTTCGTGAAGATTTGGCATTAAGTTTGTATTGATAAACTTCTTGGTTTTTATCGTTGAGTTTGAAGACTCATTCCTATCCAAACAAACCAATTATTGGTTGGTACTGTCCAGCTGTTCGCTATAAAATTCCATTATCTTGTGCATTTTAAGATCCAATATTTCGATTGCTACCTTCTAGAATCACTAAATTTCTTGAAATATATATATATATATATATATATATATATATATATATGTATATATGGTCTGATTATACAGTATCACTATTGGGGCTAAAACATATCTTTGACTAGGCAACTAATGGATGTTTATCAAATTTAACTTTCTTCAATTTGTGCACAGTTGATTAATAAGATTTTAAAAAAGAGTAACTTATGAAATTCTAAATAGGTATCAAAAACTTCTACTACCAAGTTTATGGCTGATCAGGTTCTTGCCACCTAAGCCTGAAAAGACCAGCTTAAATTCATTACCTGGGCCGGCACTGGAGTAGACATAACACTTAAACCAAATGCAAAAACCGCAAAAAGGGTGACATTCATTCTATAATTAGTACCACTAGGCAACTACCATTATAGTACTAGTGCAAATATGTTGCAAACATCACATATGTTTGGATAGGAAATTATTTGGAATAACAGTATAGTACTTTTTATGATATGATTTATGTAAAAATAAAAAAAGATGTTAAAAATTGTGTTATGATGCGATCTAAATAATATCTGAATTTTTTTTTGGCAAAATAGCAATTACAACTTTAATTATTAAGTGTAGTGCAAAATAAATTTCTCAATCTGCGTGAATTGTTCTTCACCTTTGGTTACAGTAGGTACCGAATTACTCCTGTTATTACTTCTAAAGTATAGTTACAACATTGCTACTGTAAATTGTTATGTGCAATATATCACAAATGAGCAAGCGTCTGAAAAACAAGAAATATGATGTCCCAGAAATTAAATTTTCTCCGCTAGCTAGACTATCACCTTGCATTTGAGAGTATTATTTGGTTAAAATTATGCATGCAAATTATTCCATAATATATCATGCATTAAACAAGATAATTTGAACAATTCTCGAAACAACTATCACTTGTTTTTACCACATTAAAAGTATCACATTTCAAAATAAAATGAGCAATGCGAATGTACCAAACAGACTGGAGGGTTTGAATAAACCTTAAGCCTTAACATGAACAACATCAGAAGCACTTTTCCCAAAAACAGAAAAAGATAAAGAAAAAAAATACAGAAGAACTTTCAATTTTTACCATAAACGCTTGACTTTTCCACAGTGAATCTAAAATACCATTTTATCATTAGCTCTAAATTGAGAAAATACCTCATTAAAATTAATCTCTAGTGCACCCGGTTATGAGTTCTACTTTTTTCGACTTTTTTTACATCTTGAAATCCTTGGCACCTCCAAAACAGTTCATTAGTTCATTAGTTGAAGAAACTCAGTGCCATTGCACAATTAAAGTATAACATCAATTGAATTGTTTTTGTGTGTTTTTTGTCAGTTGTGGTTCTAAATCTAGAGGAGGGCATCAGAAATTGGATGGGTTAATCCTGATTTGAAATCTAAATTGATTGGTTTTGTGGGGAGTTGTAGTTGTTATTTTTATGATTATTAAGCTTTGATATGGATGCCTTCAAAATTGTTTTGAAGGAATTATTTGGGCACGCCTAAGCCGTAATCATGAATAAAGCGAAAAGAAAGTACTCAACAAATTGCATGTTGACTCAAAACTTTAGTTTCTTTTAATTTCACCATTTTCATAAAGGAAATTTATCATTCAATTTGTTTGAATAGACATTATTTGCCAAATTTTATTTTCATGCATCATTAACACATTTTTTAGTCATTTTTTTGTCTCACATACATCACATTAAAAAAATGATACTGTATTCTTTTTCAAAAAAAATTATCCCAAATGATCTATTATCCAAACACACTGATTGTTTCTTATCATACAACCATTTTTAGGTACCTACAACTATGTTGACATGTTTTCCATCCTTATATCAATACCAAATACAATAAAATTATACTCTTCTATAATTGTTTCTTAATTTTTCATAATTTTATTATCATTAATTGATAATAATTTTCATATTCTCATAAACATTTTGTATTTTATTACTTTTTAACATAAAAGTCAAAATTTCATAAAAGTTTCACCCACGTCTTTGTAGAAATAAAACATCTTCATAGTTGAGGGTCAAATTATTCAAAGCTTTAACTTTTCAAACCACTATTTCAAATTATTCGGAGTTGAGAGAAGTGAAAGGAAATGATTGTCAAACTTGTTACTTCTACAAGTGTGCCCTTACATTAAAACAGTCTTTTAAAGAAGGTAATTGTAACAAAACTGACAGCTTTAGATTTAAACATCTTTAGTTTATTTGTTTTCAATAGGTAAGTAAAATTGTAATGGACTCTCTTAGAAAGATATGAACCATAATCTCTCATCCTTCTTGTCTAGGATTGGGAGATGTTATTGAAGAAGGGTAATTCTGAAGGATTATTGAAATCCTATAATTACTCAAATAATCGAGTAAGGGACCAAGAGTAACTTATTGTGCGATGCATTCTACACACTCTTGTTCGATTAAGTATCAAATGATGGATTTTATCTGATCTAAGTATACAAAAAGCACAATCAAGTATCTAGTAAACAACTGATACATGTGAAATTTTAGATTTCATTCATTAAGCAATTATGGAAATTCATGAGACAAAAAGGAATTCCATCATATACCCCACGTCAATTAATGCACCCATAATATGAAGAAACTATGAATGAAAGGGAAGATTACCTGATCTTGAAGCAAAAAGATGGGATGGCTTCTCAGCGTCGAACGATTGTTGTGAAGCCAAGGAAGAGTGAGATGAATTTTTTATTGAGTGGGGTTTTACAGGGAAGCTAGGTGCGATCGAAAATTGAAGTTTTTCTGAGGAATTAAGTGATTGAAATGGCAAGTCCACAAATTGGTGGTGGTTTCAACTTTTCTCTTGGTAATTAAATTGAAGTTGAAGCTTTTCAATATTCTTTTCCTCTGAGAGAGCAAATGCTGCAAGAAGGGATAATAAAAGCAGGATGAAAAGGAAGAAAAGATTCCAAAGGCAATCATTTCTGTGCTTTCCTTAGTGTTTGCTTTTAGCCTTTTCCTTACTTGTTAGAAATTGATTGGTATCTATTCTTGCAGTGGCTTGAGGTTTACCGCTTTTGTAGACGAAAGTAATAACACTGCAATCTATATTGAGGGCATCCGAATTTTTTTTTATTCCAAAGGTTTAGTCTAGATTTTTCTATTTGGGTCCCTTGGATTCTTATGCTTCCTTGTGGCACGAAATGAGTTAAAGTTCTTGTTCCAATTTGAAGGGTCACCCAGTTATTCTGTACCAACAGCAATAAAAATATCTTTGGCTTAATTCAATAAAAATATCCTAATCCTTTAGGTGAAAGATATGCAAGAGTATATATAGTATCTGCAATTATGTATGGAAAATCATGTAACCACTTTAAGAGAGTAACTCTAAATCGGTGTAACGTACCATAATATTCTTGTATGTGAGATATTTTAGTTACAAATCATCCCTTTTTGAACTCCATGAAACCAAAAAAGAAGGAAAAAAAAAAGGATGGATATTGCTATCGAAACAGTGAGAAAACACCACATTGCATTTGAATCTATACTCATTCCAATTTGAGGATTCTCTTCGTGGGATAAATGGAGGAGAATATATGTTTATTCAAATTTAATGGCAATTCTTGTATTAGCAAGCATTTTCTAATAAAGTATCTCCAACATTTTTTTTTCAATTCGAACTTCTATTTTAATCTGTAATTTTTCCCTAATAGGTTACAGAATTCCATTTTGAATAATTTAACTGCTCCCTTGATGTACATGACAAATATTTTCTTATTTGCTCCTACCATGTCCCCAAACTTTTACTCACATTTTGAGCTAATCTGAGAATATTTAAGTTGCTTAGGTGGATTATCTTAATAAGTTTCGAGTGTTAAAAGTTGAACCTTCATTTTTATCCTTCAGATTTGCAAGTATTTGATGTCATTGCGTTCATTTAGGGGATGACTTTTATGCACAAATGTGACTTTTATGCACAAAATTAAAATACATTTACATTTGTTAATTTAATGCAGACTGATGCATCTTTGCCTTTATTGTTGTTTAATGTGAACAATAAGTTGGTGATAGTAAACGTAGCTTTTGTTCACAGAACACAAGAAAAAGTAAAAATGTGTTACGCCTGCACATGAATAGTGCATAGGTACTAAGATTATTGTTTTGGTATCTTGATTATCTAAGATTATTGTTTTAGTATCTTGATTATCTCGTGCCATAGGTACTCAATTACTAAGTCCCTATTTTTCCATTTTGAATTTGCACTATGGAAGGGTGATTTTTAGCTTTGACACTAAAATTTTAAAAAAAATGTTTTAGATATTTTGTCTTTTCAAGTCATCAACTTTTTCAAAGATAATTTTTTTTTTATTCAAGAGGAGAATTCAAACCTTATAAGGGGGAAGGGGGAAAGACAAGGTCTCTAGAATCGAATCAGGAATCTTATTGTTACTTGACTAATGTTCTCAAGACCCGGCTATCAACTTATTCTTTATTGAAAATAAAATAGCTGATTAGATTATTCATTGCATAAGAAATAACTAGACATGGCACTTTTGGATATGATGACACAACATTAACTTGACTTGAAAGAAACTTGATTGAAACACGACATAAAAAAATTAGTCTCCTCGTTGGGTAATTTTAGATCAACCCACAAGTTGATACAACTAACCAATTAGTAACTTGTTAAAAGATAAGAATTGACATGTTAATCCCAACCTGCCATGTCTTATAACCTAAATCATCAGCCATATTAGGGACTCCCATTTTTAAGTTATATTATTATTGTTATAGTCATGATAGTGTAGTACTATTATTTAACTATTTTTCATGTTTGGGATTCTTATTAATTTCTTTGGGTTCCTTCGGAAATCACACCAAAATTTTCTTTTTCTATGAGAATAATAAGACTATCTATTTATAAACTACTAGATGGTATATAAATCTTGACCACAATATTAATTATCTAATAAAATATTAATTTCTAAACAATGAAACTACTATTACTTAACATTAATAAAACTACTAAATATTTGACTTGACTTGACTCTAACAAAACTACTAAACATTTAAGCTTTTTCCCCTAGAGAGGAACTGCTTGAAGAAGCAATAAGACAAGAAAAGTGAAACGGAAGAAAAGATTCCCAAAAAAAGGCATCACATAACATACAGCAAAGACAATTCTTTACCTTTCTTACTTTGTTCTTTATTTCTATCTTTTTTCATTACTTGTTATCAATTGATTGGGATTTAATCTTGTACTAACTTGTGGTTAACTCCTCTTGTAGATGAAAAGTAATGCTGCAAATCCAAAGTGATTTACTTTATTCCAAAGGTTTTCCTCTCTTTACCCTATTCCAAAATTTTCTCTTTCGGTTTCTTGGATTCTTATGCTTCCTTGTGGCATGAAATGAATTGAAATTCTTGTCCCTATTTGAAATTCTTATTTGGTATCAAAAGCAATGCTCCAAAATCTTCCAGATAAAAGCTATGCAAGGATATAGTATCAGCAAAATATTACTGCAATAGACTTTTTTTTTCCACTATTAATGCAATAGATTACTTTGCCTTAATTCAATTAGATCTGAATGATAATGTAGCCATTGTAAGCTAGACCCTGAATTTGGACCCCCTAAATAAGTGCAATGAAGGTAACTCTAAGTTGGTGTGATATCTTAACTACAAATCGTCCCATTTTGAATATTCCTATGAAAACAGTGAGACAGCACCACACAATCTACAAGCCACATTACAATCTGCAGGTGATAGATCTTAAAATTGTTCCCGACCTTTTTTCATTCACATTATATTCTTATTCTTTTAATAGAATTGAATCTACGCTCATTCCAATTTGAGGTTTATCCTCATGGAATAAATGGAGCTGAATATATGCTTATTAAATTTAATGGCAATTCTCCATTAGCAAGCATTTTCTAGTACATAGCTCCAATATTTTTAATTGAAATTCTATTTTAATCTAAAATTTCCCCCAATTAGGTTACAGAATTCCATTTTTAAGTAATTTTCCTGCCTTCTTAGAGACTTATGTTCACCCTTAATGAACTTGATAACTGTTTCCTTGTTTGCTCTCACCTTTTGAGCTAATCCAAAAATATGTAAATTGCTTAGGTTAATGTTCCAAGACCTAGCTATCAACTTATTGTTTCATGGAATAAGATACATGATTAGATTAGTCCTTGCCTTGGAAATAATTATGGGTGGCAATTTTGGATACAATGACCTGGCATGAACATGACTTGAAAGACACATAATTGAAACACAATAAGGAAATATTAGCCTCACAATTGGGTATCAAAATGGGCATTATTTGATCAACTTGTAGGTTGACACGATTAACCTATTAGTAACTTATTAAAAATTTAAGGCTGACACGGTAACTCCAACTCCAACGTATAATAAGTCACGCTTATAACACGAATGATCGGCCATATCAAGAACTCTTATATCACATTATATTATTATTATTGTTATCATATTAGAGTATATTACTATTATTATACTATTTTTTTATGTTTGGGATTCTTATTTCTTTGGGTCCTTTAGAAATCATACAAAAAAATTTTACTTGGCCCTCCCATGTTGACACCAAAATTCTATGGATTTCCTCCTAAACTTACAGTAAAAAATTGTCTAATTCGGGCTTTCTTGCTAAATAGACTATAAGAGCCAAAGGCTAGAGGTAATTTGCACCAAAATTTTCAAAAAATTAACTTTTTAAAAAAGAAAAAGAACTGATTGTGTTCCCTTATATATTTATTTACTCCAAAGTTTTTTTTTATTTTCATCCCATCATATATTATCTAGATAGTAGTTTAGACTATTTACTTCCTTCTCAACGAAGTAATGGAGCCAAAGTATATTTATTAACAATAAATTGTTTTTGAGTGCCTCCCCTCCTGAATAGATTAGTGGTACAAAAATTTTGTGGAGGCCCTTCTTGAATTTATAGTGGAAATAATTTAGTTGCATCGTAAATAGAGTACTTGAACTAAAATGTTAGCGGTAAAGACTCTTTAAGAATTCACACCAAGTTTCAATCAAGAATAAATTTTTGAGTTCCTTCCTAGTGGTTCCAGTAATAATATGTTGTTGCCTGATGCATAGTAATTTTTAAATTTTTGTGATGTTTCATTAGTTATTTTATCTAAAAATTTAAACAAGTCAAATGGATTAAAACGCAACATGATATCTTAATAATTAGTGTATTACTAATAAAAGAAAAAAAAAAGAGAGAAAAAAGCGTTTGATACAAACATGACACAAAAGCTTAAATGTCGTATATAAGTTTCTACCCATTTGACAAGGACTAAACGATGACATGACGCAACACGTCACATTTATAGCTCTGAAAAAACCTAAGTGGTTGCATTGTAAAACTACTATAATGGCTACATTGTTGTGAAAAATATTTGAAGGATTAATTTTTTCTACATTAATAATGTATACACTGTCAGTTTTGGATAAATAAAAATTATACAAAATTTGAATTTAAAATTTAATTTTGCACATGTATCATGAATTCAACAGTAATAGTGTATACACTGTTAATGTATATAAAATTTATTCATATTTAAATAGCATAAATTATCGCAAGTGACTAAAAATTGATCTAGTAAAGATACTTTATATAATTTATATAATTATTTACATTTGTAGTTGTATCATCAATTCCTAGATATTACAAATTTCTTTATAGAAAAATATAATAGCATAATTTTCTAAGGACAAAACGGTCAAAGCATTATATACATGAGGCATGCCTGTCCTTTCACACCTCACATACACAACAATTTAATCTACACGTTTGACCAATTAATTATAGGGGCAATTTATAGACTTTTGGCTTACAAAGGGCAATTTAATACCCATTCCATATTACAGGAGGACAACTTGAGATCAAGTCTACGGACTATAGGCCACATTACAATCTACAGGTGGTATGACCTTAAAATTATTCGTAACTTTTTCTTTTTTTTTTCAGTCACCTTATATTCTTATTCTTTTAATTATAGAATTGAATCTAATAAACTCATTCCAATTTGACGATTATCCTCACAGAATAAATAGAGCTGAATATATGTTTATTAGATTTAATGGCAATTCTCCTATTAGCAAGCATTTTCTAATAAATATCTCCAACATTTTTTAATTAAACTTCTAATTTATTCTAGAATTATCCACCTAATAGGTTATAGAATTCCATTTTTAAGTAATTTTGCTGCTCCCTTAATTTATTTTCTCCTTTACTAGACATGATAAATATTTCCTTATTTGCTTCTACCATATCCCCCTACTTTTACCCATGCACCTTGAGCTAACTAGAAAATATTTAAATTGCCTAGGAAGTATTTGATGTCCTTCCTTCATTTTTGTCCTTCAGATTATGAGGATTTAATGTCATTGTGTCCGCTTAGGCGCTAACAAGTTAGAGTTGATGCAGAAGTATGACTTTTTGTGCTCAAAAGTAAAATCTTGTTACATTTGTCATTATAAAACTAATACTAATATAATATAAGATTTGTGTTATTTATATAGTGGGGGCTATGTTAAGAAAATCAAAAAAATTGATGAACTTAAGAAAAGAGAAAAGTAAACAAGAAGGAATTACACTTTGCACCTTCAACTATACCGGAATTCTCACTTTAGTGTCTAAACTTTAAAATAAGACACTTTAATCCGTGTAGTATAAAATTTATTCTACTTATTAATCCATAAAATATAAAATCTATAACACTTTAATTCCTAAAATTATAAATGTTGTCCCATTTATATATAAAATCTATCTCACTTCCGTCAATGATTTTACTTATTTGATCCTATTTAATTATATGTTTTAGCAACTAAAAAGTCCTATTTTGAAGTTTAGGAACTAAAATGAGAACATGGACATAATTGAAGGATACCAAGTGGAATTAATTCTTACCGATTGTTGTTTAATATGAACAATACTTTGGTGATTACAAATATAAACATAGCATTTTGTCCCAGCATACAAGAAAATGTAAAAATGTGATAGGTTTCACATATGAAAAGTATGTCATAGCCATTTATGGCTAGATTATCTCGTACGATAGGTAATCAATTTGCTAAGATCCTATGTCCCATTTTGTACATGTCACTATATGCGTTATGGAAGGGTAATTTTTAGATTTTACACAACAAGTAAAGGAAAAAAAAAGATTTTGTAATCGTCATAATTAAGAAAATTACATTATAAAACAGCCCATCCCTTATACAGTAAAAGGTGGTTTATGGAATACGCTATGTTACTAGTGCAGAAGTTTGGAACATGATATCAAAAGTGAAATATTTTGCAGCTTTCACTTTCAGGGAGTGAAAGTATAGTAGATATCTTGAGTAGCTTTCAGGTAATTTTAACCTTTCTTTTTGTAATTAAACTGAAGTTTAATCTTTTTGATGTTCTTTTGCCTTGGCGAAGAAAAGCCATGTAATAGACAACAAAGCAATCAATTCTTTGCTTGCTTTTTTTTTTTTTTTCATTTTGTTGTTTGTTTCTAGCTTTTTCCTTGAACTGACTCGATGTTAAGCATTCTTGTCCATATTTACTTTATTAAAAAGATCTTCCTTTCTTTGCTATATTCCAAATTTTTGAATTTCAATTCCTTGGAAATCTTATACTTCCTGGTGGAACAACATGGCTTTTAAAAAAAAATTCATTAACGAATTAATAAAAATCGTCCAACACACTTTGAATTTATATTACAGAAATCTGCACTAATAGCAAGGTAGGTTAAACATGCAATATAAATAACATATTTGTAATTTAACAAATATAATAGATTTAAAAAATTATGAACAGATCTGAAAAATACAAAAAATTTCAAAATTATCTTCTAATAAGATAAATCACTTTGGCTCTCTTTTGTACATGTTGCAATCACTAGATTTGTTAATCAACTATCAAAGATTCAAAAATTTTCCAAATCTGAACATTATGTCTGAAATAAATTCAGATCTAACAACATAAGAAAAAACTACACAAAAATCTCACTATGAACTCCTAGAAAAAATAGAAATTTCTTATTAGGAACCTCTAAGAAAAATAGAAAACTCTCATTAATAAAACTTAAAAGAGACTTTGTTAAAAAAAAAAAACAAAGTAAAAATGGAATCCATGGGAGGGAGACTACCATGGTTTCTCTTCCAAAAAGGAAGGTCTTCTGAGAAAAGGATAACAACAACAGAGAAATTGGAGAAGAAGAGAGGAGAGATGGAACCACATGACTTGAAATTCCAATTTGAGACTATTGCCCTATTAACTCAGTATCGAAAGCAATGCTTCAAAATCTATTAGGTGAAAGATCGGCACTCTAACATAAGTTAGTGCAATAAACTACTTTCCTTAAAGTAAATCTCTTTTGTCACAGTGTTATTTAAATAATCATGAGTTTTTTGCTAAAATAATTCAGTTCCCAAAAAATATTGCCAAGCTAGTACAATTTGGAAAAATATACCCTTTCTAATATATTTGATGCCACTCGGACTTTTAATGCAAGTTGTTGAATGTAAATATCTACTCCGACATTTATGTGATATCTTTGTTCTTTACGCTCTTTTTTATTTTTCTGGCATTACAAGATATATTTTATTATATGAGGTGCACCAAATGTACTTTGTACAATAATAATTTCAAGCTTCATTGTTCCCAATTAGTGTTCTCTTTACAATAATTTCAATAGTATAAATCATTTGCATTTGTTTTACTATTGATAGAAGAACAGATATTTTTTTTCAAGCAAAAAAGACTTTAAATTTTGGATACATTTTACTGATCTTTTGTCATTAATAGCGCGCGGTGCATTGACAGGGTGTCGAGCCTGTGCAATAATAATTATCTACTCAAGAAAAATACAGATTTTGTATATAGCGGTGAGTAGGGTCGAATCCACAGGGACTGGGGATAATTTGTTTCTTCTAAAGTTCAGTGCATGCACTACAACAAAAATGACCTTTAACGGCATTTAAAGGTGTCAGTATAGATAATCTAACCTGACACTTTACCTTTTCTCACACCTCGGACGAGTGTCGTCCCTTCCAATGTGGGGATAGGCTCGTAGCATTCAAACGTGTTAGGAAAACTATGTTGTTATAGCATCCCATCTGCCAACAAAAATCTCTTTTCTTGATAATCGAAAGTGTCAGGATAGCTATAGTACAACATTAGAATATCGAATTCTATGTTGACACTTTTAACTGCCAGGAGTTTTTTTTTTCTTTTTTTTTTATATAGAAGCAACCTGCAGGTAATGTTCCTTGCTATACATTCCGTCAATCAGAAACCCAAAGGACTTGTAAAATTATCCCAAAGAACAGAATGCATATAGTAATCTAAAAACAAATGTCAATACTCAAATATAATTTGTTGAACTAAAAGTCAGTAACAAGTGCTAACATAGCAAATCCCTAACAAGTACAAACTTAGTTTCTAAATTTCAAAATCATAACCAAGATTACAACATTGAATAAACACAACTTTATTAAGAATGTTGTAGCTGATTTGTACCTTTGCTTCTTCACTTTTTCAATAACCCCAAAGTTTTATCCATTGCTCTTTCCGAACCCTTACATCCTTTTGAAACCGACCACATACAAAACAGAGGACTCAAGACCAATATATCTTCGGCTATGTTTGCAGCTTTAGCATCAGATTAGTAATTGTAAATTAATGGCTTTGGTTAATCATATTTGCTAGCTTCAGCTTCTGCAGGATCCTTGCTGCCTTGACTTGCTTCTGATGTTGCCCAGCTTTCTACAATCTCCCCAGGCCAGTTGCTGGCAATTACCCCATATCCTAACTTGTTCTTAATTGGACAGATTGTTGCAGCAGAGTTCATCTTTTGATGCAAACATCAATATGTTCCATTTCCACTACGCTCAAACTCCTCGTGTTGTATTCTCACTGTTCCTGAGTGGCTTTTATGTGCAACCTTGTCCATTTCTAATCTGGATTCACTAAACTGTGCTTTGTTCTATCCTTCCAGATTAGTCATCGTAAATTGCAAGTAAGCTGAATGTGCTCCTTCCCAGCAATTAAAAAAAATGCCTTCATGCTTTTGCAAATTACAGAAGGCAAATATACCTTCATCCAATTGAAAAACAAAAGCTCCGAATCCTCACAGTGAACTATTTCTCACTCGCATCTAGCACTCCAGCATATTTTGGGGATGCCTTGCTCCAGCGTATCACCTACATATGAGGTCTCTCAAACATGTAGTAATAGAGCTTGACCCTGCTAGTAAATGGGAAAATGACTTTTAAAGTCATGCAGAGCCAATAATTCGAGTCAGTAGTTTGTTTACACACTGTGTGCACATGTGACTTTCGTATAGAAAGTGATAAAAAATTTTCCAGTACTTACCATACCTATGATAGTAGGACCCACCCAATATAGATTGCACCCATGCCTTCTTCACAATTACAGTTCCCAGAAGATGGCAAAGTTCCTGTGTTGAGTAGGACTTCTCTGGCTGCATAGAAATTCACAGGTTTAAGCATCATCAATGACAACCTAAAAAGCCATGGCTAGTCAGCAATTTGCCGGCACTATGTTCATTTTCAATGGACTATAACATGTGTAATATGTAAAGGAAACCTGCGTATATATATGTCAACAAAAATCTCACAAGATAACCTGGATATAAGTAGTAAGCCAACCAAGTACAGTGTCCATTTGCTATGTTGCCACATTTTATCGAACAGGTTATGGGCAGTAAGTGCATAACAAAAATAGTCACATGAATCAAGTAGACAATCGAGAGGAACAAAGCTGAACAACAAGTGCACTCAAATCATAAACTATTACTATATCCATTTCAATCTCAAACAGACGGGACTAATCTCAAATGTAATCAATTTAGGGCAAACTTTGAAACTTAACCTTCATAATTCAACACAATAGAGTACACAGCTTCCAGAATAGCTAATAATGTCCAGAAAAAAGCTTAAACATTACCTCATATGGAAAATAGTGATTGGCTGCCATGTACACGAACATATAAGTAAGGGGGTTGTACTCGAGTGCAGGTACAGAAGCATTTTTCCTCTCATCTGCTGCAATTTGCAATTGGCAATTGGATTGTGTTTTGTTTGGCTCGAAATAAATGGTAATAGCAATGGGAAAGCTTGAAGAATGGACAGCTTCTTTACGGTGACATTTAGCAAAAACATTATCTAATTGCTCAAAAAATAAAAAAAAACCATGCAATTACATACCTTCAATGGGAAAGCAAGGAAAGTTTGTTTTCAGGGAGATTCAGCAGAAAAAACTCCAAGTGTTTTGGCTAGAGATAATTTGCTGAGGAGAGAGTGTTTCTTGTGAGAGAGATGAGATGAAGCAAAATTTGACTAAGTCTTTTGGCCGGCAATTTGAAAGTTTTGAATATTTCATGGCAAATGAATCTTCCGCCAAAACAAGCCGATGTCGTTTAGTGTCTTTCTTTATTTTTTAATTTGGGTGTATCTCACATTTTTTCAAGTGTCATGATAGGTAGTCTAAAGGCACATTATTATTCTTATATCAGATAAAATAAAATAAAAATAGAGTATATATTATTGAGTTGATAATAAGTGTCATGATAGAAGTGCTATAATGACACAAATCATCAAGTGTCCTTATAGGCATGTCAGGAAAGGTTATTTTTGTTGTAGTGATGGGGGATTTTGGAAAATATAAAATTACTAATTAACTGACTAATGAAACAACTAAAAGAAATAAATAGGAAATAATCAATAACTAATACGACTCTAGCCAAAGGTGCAACTTTTCAGACACGGTCCATTCAACTGATCATCGATGCAAAGATAATTTAATTACTCATGAATAGATTGGTTATAGTTGTCATACATGCGATGAACAACCAGCCTTTTCTTAATTTCTCGATAGTTAAGGTACGACCGTTAACTATTTCCCTAACCAAGAAATAACTCTAGGTACGACCATAGGATTTAATTATTCGATTGCATTAATAATTAGAAAAGCCCAACCCTAACCAACAAACACGCTACGAGGGTTTGTTTAAGTTAGATCATATGTTTCCCTAACATGAAACCAATCACGCTAGTCACCACTGGTATCAATCAATTGAACAATTACGGATTCAATCAATTAATTTGGCATTAGATCATTAAGTTAATTCGAATATCGGGCCCTTGACACTCAAATAACATAACAAGCACAAGCAATTAAATCAGGAAACGCACAAATACCAATGAATAAAAGAAATGAATAAAATAATTAGATCTCACAGATATTCGAAACCGAGTCCTCAAATTGACCTTCGACTAGAAAAACTTAGCCACGCCTCATGAGAAAATCTCCACGTAATTTAACTGAGGTCCAGGCCATCAAAGGAACTAAGAAAGAAAAAAACTAAACTCTGCTAAAAGCTCAGCTAAAACTATTGATAAGAAAACCTCCTGTACGTTTGTCTTCTTTTAAAGCCAAAGGGAGATGACTCATGATATCTAGTGGTCCCCACGGATTAGGAGTCAAAGAGCAAAAGAAATGGAGCTCTGTCGAATTAAGAGTCAAAGTCCAAGAAGGAAACTCTGCCGAATTGAGAGAAACCAAGTCCACAAGGTGGGGTCCTGCCGAATTGCTCCTTGTTTCCTATTACCAGGAGAGCTCTAATCTCCTAATCAGCAAGCAAATGCAGTCCGTCTCTTCCTCTCCTTGTGGGCCAGGTCGATGGAGCCTTCTTGAAGTCTCCCACTTATGGAGCAAGTCCCTCATTTTTTTGTAGTTTCTTGCTCCAATCCCTGAAATTAAATCCAAATACCAAATATAAGTAAATATTACTAATTAAAACAATATTTGGCAAGGACAAAAGGGGAAATTAATAATAAAATAACCAATAATTAGCACCCTATCAATTCCCCCCACACCTAAATCATGCTTGCCCTCAAGCATGGGGACGACAAATAACACCAAAATTTGAAAATGTGTATTGCTCCATCTACCCTATTGCCAAGATACCAAGGAAAACATCTATCAAACATTAGTGATCAGGGTTCAAGAAACATCACCCCAGTTAGCTTCTAAACCACAAACTCCTCCAATTTAAAGCAAACTAATCTAAGAAAAAGGAATGGTTGCTCACATTTATCAGCAAACGGTCCAACTATTAACCAAAATCTCGACATTAAGATCACAAATCGGCAAGCTGACTTTTCATATACGAACACAATCTTTACTTTACTTCTTTACTTCTTTTTTTCTTTTTTTTTGTTCTTTTTTTTTTTTGAATAACAAAAGACTTAGTTTATAGCCCTTAGAGCCTTTTGACGCGAACTCCAACATTTTCCAGATGGAGGAGCCCGGTTACTCAGCTCCAATTGCTACGGGACCACGCACTCATAGCAACTACTATCTTTTGACGCGAGAGTCTACACTTTAGGTGAAGATCCCCGGTTACTCAGTAGTAACTACTAGCGGAGTACAGTCAACTCTTATTTACAACCATATAGCACGATATCTAAAAACAACACAAGAATAACAGTAGCCAGCCTCAAATTTTCAAACATGGAGAACTAAAATTAATAACCGAACCAATTCATATGAAAAATGCCAACAATCATTCCCTATGCCTAGAAAAGTTAACCAAAAATTGAAAAAGTTAAGCAATTATTGATATTCACCAAAGAGATGTTCCTGAACTCAACCACATCAACTTGATACCCTTTTATTACTAAAACTTGGCAATAGCAGAATTAGAGACAACAATCCAGCATCAAAACTTGGTATTCATATAAAACTGATCACTAGAAAGAAAAAGAAAAGAAAATAAATGAAAGATAGGCAAAAACTAACTAAAAATAAAGGAAAAACCCCTAGAAACTAAAAACAAAAATACTAGCACCCAAACTGACCCCCCACACCTAAATCACACATTGCCCTCAATGTGATAAATAAACAGTAATAGTAAGCAAAAGAGCAACGGTACTTTCTTGAAATCACGGGGACCATGGCGGGGCCACAGCAGTGGGTGAGGTGGGAAATGGTTGAGTTGGGTTGGGGTAGGCTAAGGTCGAGAGGTTCCGGACCTAGAAGAGAACTTTGATCTCACCATTGTCGCTAACAGGTAACCCAATCAACAGAAACTGCCAACATATAGAGGAACAAGTAAATGCAGATCAGCAGAAATCAATATCCTCTAGTGAAGTCAACAATCAACCCAATAAGCACAGGCAACTCCCAATTCAAAAGGGTAGTGCACAATAAATGGCCCACCAAATTAGCAATTTAAAGCCCTGAGCAATCTACGCCCAACAATTCTATCAGTACCAGAAAACCACCCCAAACAATGTAACAGTTAAACTCCACAGGCAAAGGGCGTCCAACCAATTTCACTCAAGCAAACTAGGAGCAATGCGAGTGATTAAACAAGGCAACAAATTTCAGCAATTGGACACATATCCACCCAAAATCCCAACAAATGCCTCCAAGAATTCAGCAAGTCTAGTAATAGCAGCTCAGCATTTAGGCAATAACAACTTAGTCACAAGCTCTGAGCTTTCAATCCCAGCAGCCACACCAAAAAGAATGAATAAATGTTAGGCAAACTACCACAACCAGTACCACTGGTGTACGCACAGGGAAGAATTAAATCAAACGGAAAACTCAATTCACTTAGAATACAAACAACACTAGACAGTACTCCAAGAGCCTAAACAAATGACAATTATATTAGACTAGGCAAATCAGTTGCAGGACATAACCCAATGCACTGGCTCCAGTAACACAGATGCAATTCAATCAAATTTACTCAGTGAAATCGCAAGCATCAAAATCCCATCAACATCAAGAAATCAGAATCGGGGACCACAAAATTAATAAGAAAAACCTGGCACCAGGGAGGTTGGGCTACCGACGGTGGCGCTGAGCTATGCGTCGCGAGTGGTGCAGGTTGAGTGGTGCGCCAAGAAGTGGGCTGGACGAGAGGCGGCACGCGTGTAAGGGAGCAACGAGCTAGGGAAGGTCGCGCTGTCGGCGCTCGTGAGTGTCGCGCGAGTGGGTAGCCGCTGTGGATGGCGGCTAGTCAGCAGCTGCCGCAGGCTGGAGATGGCGATGGAGCTGCTAGAGTGGAGGCGAGCTGGCGGTGCGCTGGCTGTGGGCTTGTGGGCCGCGGCGTGCGGTTGGAGATGGGAGAGAGAAAATGTCGCGCCAGGTGGAGCTGGGCGTGCGGCAATGGCGGAGCTACGGCGCTCAGCTGTTGGAGGTGGAGGTCCATGGGCTCCAGGCGACAGGCGGCGGCGAGGGATTTTGGCCAAAGAGAAAAAGAAAAGAAGAAGAAGGAAGTGGGGAAGAAGAGGAAGAAGAGGGAAAGAAAAAAAAAAGGAAAGAAAGAAAAGAAGAAGAAAGAAAGAAAGAAAAAAAAAAGAAAAAGAAAGGAGAAAAATAATAATAATAGCTATTGGTCTATTTTTTTTTGTAAATTTTTTTTTTTGCTTTTGAATTTAATTTTCAAAATTTGTATTTTTGAGGAAAACACAAAACTGACAGTTTTAAAGGAAAAATTTTTTTTTTTTTTTGAATTCATGTTTTGGGTCGTCAAACACCGCGTGGGCACGCCAAGATTATAAAACGTCCACTGACCTCAGGAGACACCAACACCGCGTGGGCACGCTAAGATCGGTAAACATCTACTGACCTCAAGAGACACAAACACTGCGTGGGCACGCCAAGATTGCACTTCCTGGTCACAGTGGAGGAAAATATTAATACCAATACTACCCAACGGAGAAACGACAAAACGAAAGAAATGAACAACTAAAAATAATAAAACCAATATTTGGGTTGCCTCCCAAAAAGCGTCTTTCTTTAATATCTTTGGCTAGACATTGCCATATTTATTCACGGAGGATAAAATCGTGTAGCTCGTTTTAATGCTTCATCCTATATATGGTCCTGATAGCCCTCGTAAATAGAGTAATTTTTGGGCACACGAGCTACGGCCTTCCATGAACTAGTAGATGGCACCGAACCGGTCAACAATGATCTGAATTCTCCACTCACTCCTCCATCACACGCATTTATCGGTTCAAGATATTTTGCCATCGCCACTCTTAACTTATTCCTGTCATGAAATTTAAAATTTTCTAGTATAATAAAATCAATCTCAGTAACAAGAGTTGAAAAATAGGAGTCAGGAAAATATTGATTAAGGAATGGAGAAGATGTCACCGCATTTGGAGATTGTTCACTGGATTCGTTCACTTGAACGAGTTGATCCTGGAGTCTCATGTCTTGCACTTCACTTCTTTTTCAACTGCATCTTTAGATCCGTTTTCTTGAAACTCTTGCAGTTCCATGTCATTTGGCCGGATAATTGCACTCTC